GTATTCAGTTCGACAAATTTCCCAAATGTTTAATAATTTTTCAAAAATAACATCACCACATATTAGAATAATATTGTCAGCTTTGAAACTAATCATGTCAGAACAAATCTGATTTCATCTTACGACAAAATATTGAAATTTCATTTATGGGGAACGGAAAGCGCTATTTATTAAGGGGCAGAGGATAGGCAATATTTGACACAAATTGATCTATAAAATATTTGTACTAAATTTTATAGTAGCCATTTTTAATAACATCATCATTAACATCATTAGCTTAACGGGCCTTTAAGGCCCAACGCTGCCCTCGCGAGATGATGGTTTCTTTAATATGCCATTTTTAATATGCCGACTAACTTTAAGGTAAACAAATATTGTAGTTTTTCTAGTTATAATACTTTTAAAGTTACTTTTCTCCGAGTTATGGCAATAGCTTGACAAAAAACGACTTTTGCAAAATTCATTTTCTTACGTACCTTTCGGAAGGATTTTATTATTTATTTATTTTTTATGTGAAACTTACTATTTTTCTATGAAGGCTAAAGGCCGATTTTTGATTTAGCAGTTAGAAAATTAGATTTATTAGAAAAAGTATAAAAAAGTTACAATATAAATGCTTATCAAATTTGAAAATAATAAAAAAAAATCTGCCATTTAGCCCCCACAGAGAAGATGTTAAACTATAAAACAAAAAAAAATGATTGAAATCGGTTCGGTAGGTTCTTCAAAAGTGACTAGTAGTCTTTATTTTTTAAAAATGTATGCTTTCCGTTCCCTTTATGAAGGCTAGTACTTTGGAGGCTTGGAGCAGGATAATACTACATATTTTAAGAAATTTAATTTAAACTTCTTAAATAAATAGATAATTCAAATAATAGATTATCTTCTTAGATAATTAAAATCAGCCAATCTCGCTGCCATGAAAACCATAAAATATGCTTTGAGACATTTTTTTATTGAAAAACATGACCTCTTGAAAACAATAATTAGTGTTGATGTTTTTTTTTTTAATTATCGAAATATAAAAAAATGCTGTTCAACAAAATAGAATAACTCCTTTGAATATTCCATTCACAAACGCAATGTATAGGGAGTTTGACGATTAATTGATTACCAGAAATACATAAAGACTACATTTATTTCTCGAAAAATGGCGGCATAGATAGGCATTTTGAATCGGCTAAAGTTTTGTTTTAATATTATTGGCATTTTACATTTCTCGTATTTTAAATACTTATAAATTTCAACACTGAAACACTTGGCAAAGCTTAGTAAATAAATCACCCACGCAATACAAAACACATAATGTCAACAACGTACAATATCCATGTTCGGTTTTTTTTCTGATTCGAAAAGGCCTCCCTTTATAATATAACAGTATGCTATTTGCTCTATTAAAATTGGAACAACCTAGGAGAGTAGTACAAAGTGTAAAAACGCGTTCAAAACTAACCAACAAATATTTTTTAGTATCAGAAGAACAAATGCACACAATGTACACAACCATAACGGCACGTGCCTGAAATTTCATTTTAACTGTATAATTTGTACAGCATTCAACAACAAGTTATCATTTACTTATATGTATATATATATATACATTTTTTTTAATTTTCAAAATTTCAATTTATTCTAATTTTTATAGATTGTTTATTATCTTCAATACATACAAATATACACGTCAAAAGTCCCCTTGAAACTTATAGACAGGCTACTTAAATTTGTTGCATGTTTCAGTGTGAAAAATTTAACAAAATACTTTTGCCTAAAATATATACTACTAGGCTTACCAATAGACATGGTGGATATCCAAACACCACCATATAAATGCGTTGGCGAAATTCTATTCGGCCAACATACTTTTACAGTCGCTCTGTAATAATCAGCTCTGATTCAACCTAGATTATGAAACTAAATTATTTAATCAGATAATCAATAAATAATATTTCGCAACAATAGTAAATAAAAATAATTACAATTTGTATTACAAGGTGTATTCATGAATTGTAATTCATATTTATAGTATAAATATAATTTTTTTTTTAATAATTTGTTCCAAATATGGTTTTATTATTTTATCGTTTAAATTGAAGTGGTCGAAAATGGAGTCAGTTGATATCAGTTTTGGCCGAAAAAGGTACCCAAATCCGCGACTGGAAAATAAACAGTTAGGTCATTTAGATCATACATAAATAATGTATACATATAATAATGACAATACATAAATAAATAATATATAATATTATTGAAAACGCAAAAAAAAACTCCGCATCGAAGCTAAAAATGAAAAAGGGCTCGTTAGGCATATAATGCATATCCGAATGTACGACGTGACAGTACAAACAAACAGTTGAAAGTTGACAGTGTAGTGGAGAAAAAATCATAATTCCACTTTGCTGTCAGAAGTTAATGTAAAAAGCAATAATCTCTTTTGTTTGAAAAACGGAAATTATCTACATTATTAACAGACTGGCGCTGTCAAATTCACCCTTATCTTTGTCATTGACATAAACGTCAATAGTTAATCCAGCAGGGAGATACTATGGCGGCAGACGGTATTTAATTTCATCAGCATTAAAAGTATTATCATTATTATTATATAGTTTTCCTGTTAACTTCAAAATATACGCAACTGAAACAGCTTCACTTTTTTCCACTTGGGAAAATAAAATCAATTAATTCATTAAAATTTAATGTTATATTTTATTTTGTCAATTCTGAGTGTCGACACTAATCTCATTTAACTCTGTTCGTTTCAGATTTTGAATTGTTTGTTAACTAAATGATGGATAAAAATGTAAAAGTTACTTTGGCATTCTTTTATTATTATTAAAATTATTATTTTTATCGGCTGACTTGACGCTCTTGTATTTTGCAAATTTAATTAAATGTAAAATCAGAAGAAATGAATATATTTACTTAATTAAACGATAAGATGTTTTGTTGAATTCCATTCGTCAAGCAAGATACTTTATTCCGAAACGAACAAAAACATTTTTAATTAAATTATCTCCCTTTTGAGTCACGTTTCAATAATTAGCTATCATTATATTATTATTAATATTTATTTTAAATAATTCCCGAGTATAGTACGAGTCTACAAAAATTACTGAAATTCAAAATCAAATACTGTGTACAGAGTTTTAAGTGTCTTTATAATGCAATTTTTGAGCTGTAAAAATTTGACCCTTTACAATTATTTATTTTGTTTATTCAACGTGTTGTCGATGCAATAAATAACACTTATTATTGTCTTAAGTCTCAATCCTGATAACATTTTAAAAAAAATACAAAAACATGTTTGTAAAAATCAGAAAGTACAAATTCAGTGACATCAAACAACTTACTTACGACTAAATAGCTTGTAATGAGTACAGACGATGTAAAGTGCATTAAATTAATTCATATATTGTGTATTCGTATGGTTGTATAGTATACTTTCAGCGGTATATATTTTTTTTTAATTGACAATACCGTATAATAATAACAAACTGAATGAATCAGAGGACCTATAAATACACATTGCAAACTGCAAAAATACCTATATTAAGTTGAAATAATCATAACGCAATTATCGAACAGAAAAAATGTTTGATCAATGATCGGTTTGTATGTATTAAGTACGATTATAGGTTTAATAATAATAATAATATGATTATCTGTTTTATATTAAATGAGAGTATTTACTATACTCAATAACCCGCTGGGACAGAAAATGCAATTACTGTGATATTCAAAGGGGTTTATGAAATTTTAGTAAAGTCAGTAGGTACATTTCAATATAATATATAAATACGTTTATTATATTTGCATTGAATATTAATTTTGTGTATACTTAAATTTCCAATACTATATTTTAAGCCTACAACATTATTGATGCTTTAATAACATAACTTCTGTTGCATGAACCTTTGAGAATACTCATTTCATATTAGACTGCATACACAAACTATTTCAATAAACCTTTCAAGTACGTTATTAAATGTTTTGAAACCCCTTGTAAAGGTATACCCCCACAGCCGTCGCACTAATTATCATGTTTGTGTATTGAAATATGAATATCCAGATAAAATACAAATGTACATAAAGTAAATATGAATTACTCTTAGGTAAACTTTGCGATGGCCAATGTTTAAAGTACTCTTGATAAGAGCTATTCTACTCACGAGGTTTACAACAACGTAAGTCTGATATAATAAAAATTTTAAAATTAACGGTTGATCACAAATTAGGGCGGTCACGGATTTTTGTAAATTTATTATTGTCTAAAACTAATAAAACCAATCTAGAATAAATGCTTTTATGCGAACCTACATGTTATGACAAAAAACAAACATTTAATACTCGAAACAATTCAACAAAATCAACAATCAAAACAACAATTCAACAAAATCAATATTGGCTCGTGAATATTGAAATCATAATTATATTGGTTTATGTAAATCACTTAATATTCAATGGAGTTCATCTAGTTATTAATTAGAAAAAATTGTGACTACTGATTTCTATTCCGTAAGTAGGTACATATTGTACTAAATTTAAAAGTAAAAAATAAAATCCGTACTCATCTAACGTAATAATTAGTTAATTGTCATAATTTTCCCAAAATCATTGTAAACTGAAGGTTAAAAGATGCAGTTTATAATGACTTAAATACTAAAAAACTGTTTACTTACGAAATTAAGTTTTATTCGAATTTGAATTATACAAACTTGTTTTTTTTAATTTGTTTGTATTATATTATTATTTTTTTTATATATCATGTTTTAATAAGTAATATGACTTATACGAACAAAATTAAATATTATATACTACTTTAACTATTTTAATGTTGAATTAAAAATTTCTTTATTTCGAAGGTATATTTTACCGTAATTTTATTGGAACGACGTTTGTAACTATAGAATTGCATATTGATTTTAATGGGAAATTGATACTTTTTAAAGTCTAAATTGAAACTTAGGAAAAAAAGGAAACGATAAATACGTGCAAGTGCATAATATTTTTTTATAATCATACTCAGATATGATTGATTTTATTTGTCGGTTTTCGTATTTAACAATATTACATATTATATGTCGTATAAATAAATAAATTATTCTTAAGCCTACGAGTATAAATTAAAATGAACTGTTCATTTGTACTGTTGAGTTCTTTGCGGATGGCCTAGTACAAGCTCCTCTTTCTCCATTTGTTGTCGGTCACCTCATTCGGGGCGGCCTCGGCGATGGCGCAGCTGTTCTGGTCGGTCTTGACGAAGAAAGTTCTGCTCATCTTGTATTTGTCCAAAACTCCGTAAGCCTTTTGCATGACTGTGCCTGGGGCCAACTTTTCACGGGTCAAGATCCACGCGTTTTCTGTGTCATTAAAAAAAAATAACCATTGACGTTAAAGCGAAATAGATGAATTGTAATGCATATAGTGTTGTGTAGCACTTACGGGTGTTGGCAACGCCCAGAGACGAGCAAGACCAGACGACGGCGAAGGAATCGTAATCGGTTTCCAAGATCATCTGTTCAGTGGTGTACGGGACTGGAAGGAAAAAAAACGGTCGTTACTTTCGCTCGGTTATAGTTTATAGAAGAAAAAAGAACATTAGACTGTATATAATATGTTAAGTCATTTATAAATTATTGTCGACGAGTTGACCTCCCGGATATACCACTCTGACTTAATTTAATAGTTCATAACAGTCTTGGACAATTCATGAATCGCAAAAAACACTAAACTAATTTTATATTAGTAAAATATGCATTGTTCTTTTTTTCAAATCTCTAAAACTTGTCGACTTGGAAGAAGTGACTCCTTGCCTGTTATTTCAATTATTTCAATCAAAAGGAATGGTTATTACTTATTTAGCTTCGTTGTAAAGCCAGCATTGTTTGTTTATAATACGCTGTAGTCATTAACAACATTGTTTATTTGGGACATGATGACTTTCTTATTTTAGTAAATTCAATGAGTGGTATTATTACTTGGCAGGGTGGTGTACTTGACGTTCATTTTGGATTCGGCTCCCTTGACGACCAATCTGATTTCACCGTCCAAAACGCGTTTCACTCCGGTGCTAAAAAATAATAATATTAATTAAAACTAAGACCATTAAAGGAGATTCTTTTGTTTTTTTATAAGATCTTCGTATCCGCTTACAATCTGTTCATGATTTCGTTGGTGACCAAGTAACGGCCGTCGACGGCTTTGGTGTAGTTGGTCTTCACGCATCGTGTTCCGATTTCGAAAACGTTCACATAGTGTTCGGCTTCGTACCACGTTCCCAAGTACTGAAATCCATAAAACAAATCAAATTAACGTTAATCAACAAATGATAAAAATTGTTTCTTTAAAAAGAAAGTTGTGTAATGTGTATTATAGCGTGCTACGAAAACTACAGCATAAATGTATATAGTCAACAATAATACCATTCATTCGCGTTCAAAGTTTGTCATTTCAGTAATATTACATATCATTACAAAGTTGACAGTTATTATAATACACCGACAGTTACAATTTAAATTATTCGGTTTTCCTCTAAAAATCAAACAATATCGTTGACAGACACCGTAAGTAGTCCCCAGTGTACAGTAGTAACAGGATTTGAGTTTGTGATCAAAAGCAGCAATTATTGGTTTACAAACGTAACGATTATTATTGTTATTATTGTTTGGCCTTGGCTCGATCGACGCTACCAGAATTAATTTCTCTATTCGAAAATAATATTTCTATTATTTACCTATGCTCGATCACTGTAAATTATTATATCCACGATTTCCAATCGACAATGAGGACAAAGAATGTTTAACTCATATGAAGATCTTTTAATTAAGTGTCTTCAGAAAAAGTTTTTTTTCTCAGTTCTATAGAAACGATATAATTAATACGTCATTGAGCATGGAAAATATAATCCGACAAACTAATGTAGGACCTTTTGACGACGAATTAACGAATTTACAAACTCGGTTGATTAATTGTTTTCTTGATTACTTTTCACGATACGATGGCGTTATTTAATGATTTTTGTTTAAATGTGGAAACATTTATCGGCCACAAATAAATGTCTACCAAAATAGCATATGTACATCTAAAATATAAACAAATTATAGGCTAAAAACCAGGAGAACTTTTACGGTGTGTTGCTCAATTTCTCTAAATAGTGTCCGAGTCGGACATATTTATTATGAATCGAATAATAAATAGTTGTATTGTAAAATTATTTCAAACCCTAAATACAAATAAAAATAACGAACAAAAAAATGTATCGGCAAATAATAAATATTTGTACTCAAATAATAAGAAATAACGAATAATTTTAACCGAAAGCATAAAAAAAAGATAATTTTGTATTTAGATAAAAAAATTATTCAAATAATGTCCCTCTCCGCACAAACTTTATGATAGTATAATATTGAAGTAAAAAAAAAAAAAAATAAGTACAATTATTTATAAAGTCCCATTTTAAACTTTTCGTTTTGCAATTAAAATGTAATGGACCAACAACTAATGGTATTTGAGAAACCAATAAAAATGGTCTATTGCTCGATTCAAATTTCGATTTACGTTCATACTACCAATCCGATTTAAATTCAAAACTGAGTACAACAAATGCAAATGTATTAATGATTCAACACTACTTAAATTATACATTTATTGATAAAGACTAAACATAAATAATATTCAATATAGAATAATTACTATTTTTTGTTTTAAGAAAAAAACTTATAACCAATAACTAGTTAATTTTTTTTTTTTACTAATGAATAAAAACATTTAGCAATGGCATGTCGGGGCATTTAGATCTTAACGGTTTTGATGTATATTTATTTTATTATTCAATATAAGCGAACGCGGCTTAACTAAATCTGACAATGCCTGATGGCAACTGCAGAACCGAATATAACCCAAGTTGAGATTTAAAGCAAACATACATAGGTAGTGATTATTATACAGTACAATAGGTACAATTCTACCGTCGCTCCGAGGGTTTAACAAGGCGAAAATGGTCTTTACACCGAACGCCAAACGTTTTCAATGAAGTCTCGTATAACTATCGGATGTTTACCCGGACTTTTCGAAAACCGTATTGTCGAGTAAGTACGGACACGACGGGGTGAATTTTGAAATCCAAAGGATTTGCGAGAACGACCCCGTTTTCAAATCCTTCGACAATACAGAATGGCAATAGCAGACCGCGTTGTACATACTATATTCAACAAAGCTTTCCCGGCAGTCGACAACACAAAGATACAATATTAAAAAAAAAAAAAATCCAATTCAGAATTTCTAATTTCGCGCTCGAGCTTAGCACCACCGCATCGCACTATAACGTTAAATTATATTTTAAATTGCTTTTCCAGTGACAATATTATATATTAAACTACACAATGGTTCAAACGATCAAACGGCTATTCTGTCATACTCATTCGACTTTATCGCTAATAATGGCTTACCCTGTTCATGTCGAAGTCGGGCTGGGAGTCGAAATCCGGGCAACCGCCGAATCCGGGAACTTGGCAGGCGACCATCGCGAACGACGTGCACGCCAACAACAAAACTAACTTCTCGTTGAATGTCATGTTCGATAATGTACGAAAGATATATAATACAAGAACTATAATATTGCGAAGACTGGTCCGGTACGGCGTACGAGACGAGTGTGGCTTCCGGTGGTGCTGCACGAGGTCTTTTTATACGTTGACGGCGGGGAAGCTCGCCCGTACGCCGCTCTCCTTCCGAATTGGGATATCCGTAATAGCGCGACGGTTTTTTTTTTTTTAAATTTATTTTTTGTTTTGTACTCTGCATTAGAAGGTGACAGTCCCGATGCCTAGCAGAATATCCTTTTCGCCCGGCCGGCGGTGTCGTGGGCCGAGGGGGAAGAAAGGCGGCGGCGGCGGCGGTGGCGTTCAGCGAACGGACAAAGAGCAAGAAAGTTTACGAAGACGTGGGGGCGGTCGACGAACTCCATTGGCCTGCGCGCGAAGACCGGTTCCCGAGTGTTTTTTTTATTATGTTATACCTGTATACGATGTGCGACGATAATATTATTATAATGTGTGTGTATATGCATATGAGACCCCCTCAGCCGCGGCGCTGTCGCCGTGACCCCATAACGGATTCCGGGTAACGGGACCGTTCGGATTTACGATTTAAATGTTTATACGCGTGTGTCTGTCTGTCTGTGTGTGTGAACTTGGCGATTTTCTACAGGGTGTGTGTCGCCTCCCTGACAGCACAACCTCCCCCGTCCCACCGGTATATACCCAATAGACACTTGAAACACACGTGAGGCTCATTGACTTTTCCGGAGAACTCGGTTTTTTTTTTTTTTGTCCAACCAAATGATATCCGGCGAGAACCAACACCACCACAATATAGGTAAGATCGATCAACGTACTTCGTCGATCATCACTAAATGAACAACTATGTATAATATACTCGTATATCCCAGCAGACAAGCCGCGGTCAGAATGCGGTGTACGGATTTTCCGTAGTCTGCAAGTCGAGATAGTAGGGGCGAGACCTCTACAATAAAATGTTTACAAAAATCGGTAAGTTTGACCCGTAAAACATGTTCAGAATTGTTCATTTTCGATGCAATTCGTAGGTATGTATCTTAATTAAATGAAATTGCTGAACATTTTCTTGAAAAGTCAAAACTAAATGCGAAAAACGATACAATTCGAAAACTCAAGTTAAAAAGACTTTAAAACTTGATTTTTCTTCTCGATATCATTCTGAAACCGATATTTTTGTACGATATTTCTTATCAGACGTCTGCGTTTATTAACATTTACACATTTTTTCAAGCATTAAAAATAGTGTCATCCGTCGGTTTTTTGCCTATTCGGATTTTTCAAATTCCGTTATTAATAAGAACTCAAACAAATTAGCAGGAAGACTTTTGCAAGTCACTATATTTTTATGAGATTTAAAGGCATTTATTTTGATTAGAAAATATAAATATTTATGTATTAAAAATAAAACAAAAGATTTATATAATGAGTATGTTGAAAATTGGTAAGAAGTGTGATTGAAATCGTCTTAAAGTCATAAAAGTCGGTTATAACTAAGAAGTCTAAAAAAAGTCAGATATGTTTTAGAGTTTATAGAAGTCAAATGAAAACAGAAGCTTAATGGAAGTCAAAGGTTTCTGTTAGAACTTATAAAAGTTGTCAAGAAGTTAACTTCTTAAAATGCATTAAAACAAGAAGTCAAGTTTCCCTTTAATACATCCTCATAACAATAAAAGGACCTTTCTGGGCAGATAAACGGCTTGATGCCAAGATAGTTTTTCATAGGAGTTGGATCCGAGTAACTTAATTTTTCCAGGGGCAAGAGTACTCGATCTAATCAAAAATCAATTGACATTTGCAAATGTTTGAGATAAAAAAAAAAACATTTAGAACTACCATTACGATGAGCTAGATATATGTGCTTTCCTACATGCGACTGTTCAGTTTTATATATTTTGTTGGTATTAAATTAATTCAAATAAATAACGATTTTGGCAAATTTTCATTGGGAATAATTTCATTAAAGAAAAATGTATTCGAGAAACATTTTCTTCGGACGATTCGGATTGACTATTATTTTAAGCCATATTCTTGGAGTGATCTATTAATTTAAATATGGATACTGGGGATTGTGGTAACGTCTAGGCGGACCGTTCAGGAAACTGTTCAGGATTCTACTTCCGTTATCAAACGATATATCCTCTCATATTGGTCTATTATACCTGGTCGAAGGGGTCCTTATGCTGTTAGAGCTGATCATCGGCGGTCGCTCAAACAAAGCCCTCGACTGCATTTGTACGTTGGGTACGGTACGATAAATCTTTCAACAACCGTTTTGGTCGCTTAATTTTTCCTACACACGGACTATATTAGCATAAGCATAGTCGGTTTTGTAGGTCGTCCGGCTGTTCCAAATTCGCGAATAATATCTGATTCCTGTTTGACCGGCTGGTCTCGCGTGAGCTGGCGAGTAAAATAAGAAAATTCGATTTAACGTCGCCATGACGTTATTTATGATAATAATATTGTATGTATAGGCACTGTTCTAGTCTGAGCGTTAATCAACCATTAGACAACGTACAATACAGACCGTCCGGTAGGTTATTTGTCGTTATTCAAACGCCGCATAAGTTGTTTGCAGTAAAAGTTTACACTGATCGTTTTACTATAATATATTATAATATTATTGTTATTATATATTTTTGTGATTTATGTTGTTTTGTTTAGCCTCGCGTGCGTGGGTTATTTTTTTTTTCGCCTAATGAGTCACGATGAGTTTTTAAAAATATATTCGCAGAAAACTAGAAATCCTGTAACTCATAGACGATTACATATGTTAAACGGGTTTCTATAAATTTCGCCCGTATCATAATAAATATATTATATTTTCTGAACCGTGTTTGGTTTTAATTTCTACAGAAAGGCCCTTCACCTAGTTCTATTGCCAAATTGTTATTTGTTTTGAGTACCGCGATTTCTCACTTTCTAACGACATTAATTATTTTATAGCGTTTCCATAAGCGTGTGCGTAGGGGGAAACTTCGTGCAAAATTCATTAACGTTAGCTAAAGTGTACATTTTGCGCTTGACACTTTATTATAATAGGCGACACTCGATTCTTTGGTTCGGTAAATTGTTTTTTTATTATAACAAAGCTGCCACAAATAAAGCTCATTCATTTTGCACGGGTTTTAATTTATTCATGGCTCGACCGTGACCTTTTCAAAATGTTATTTGAATATAAACTGACCAAAGTTACTTGGGTGAAATCAAACTCAAAAATACTTAGCTCTATATTATAGTTAAAACTAATAGAATTTTTTTTAACGACTTATTATAAGCTGGTTGATTACCAACTTTAATGTTGTAAAGATATTTTATTATAAATAAGTCGGTATGTATAGTATGGTTAATATAGACATCTATATTTTACAATAATTAGGCAGTTGGACAATCTAACTTCTAAGTATGTTCAAAATTTGCAAAGATATGTTTTAAACCCTTGTCGCACACTTAGGAAACTTTACGGGACAACGATTCCAGGAATTAAAGTAATTAACAATCACATAGACAACAATATAATATATTGCCCGACTGAGAAAAAGGTCTTGCCTTTACTTAACGGTTCTAAAATAGTACCTAAGTTACTATAAATTATTCTCGGATTATCGTTTTAGTTTTTATTAAAATTAAAATATGTCATACCGACTATTTGATTAAGCACATACACATTTTTCGTTCAAACTAAAACGCATAAACCATTATCAAATAACAAACATTTTATTTAATTAAAAAAATTTTAAAAATTATTTCTGTTATTTTTACGCCCCTGAAACATAATACTAGTATATAACAATATTTTTATAAACCAAGTACATATTTTTGAATGTGTAAACACGACATTAAATTACTACTAAACAAACAATTTCCGTACCGTAAAACAGAGTAACTTTGAGTACACATTTTATGAAGTACTTTACTTGATAAAATAATTTTTTTGTAAAACAGTTCTTCGATAAATGATAAAACATAGTTTTAATTAAAATTATCTTAATATACCTAAGGTACTAAAAATTTTCCCCCAATTACCCTCAGTACAGTCTTAGTTGCAACTTGTACGATAATTAATATTCTATTGTGAAATTTCAAGTACTGCAATATATTTTAAACCGAAATCCACAAACTATAAGACGGATCTTTATGATACGTAACTAATGGGGGGGGGGGGCTGTTGGTCACGTCATGACTTCCCCTCTGTATATATTATTTTAATTTTTCATCCATTCTATATGGATAAAAGCAACATAAATAATTGTATAACTTGCTCTATCTCTGGTTTAATTATACTACAGAAATAATTATAGTGTATACGTTTTCCCTCGTCCCTAATTTTGGTTTGCCGTTTGCCTTTAAAATTGTTGCGGTCACGTCCGCAAAGGCTTTGTAATTATTTAAATATGTATAAATATAAGCAGTGTATGCATCAAACCTAGTCATGATTACTGCTACACTGTTTTTAATTACATATTGTACAAATCGTAAAATGTTTAATTTAAATTAAACTTTTTTTTTGCTGACTTTATTATTTTCATACAGTGAATAATTATTGTATTTTTAAAATAATATATACTCTTAATCAACGTTTCGTTTATAATATATACTTCATTATACATGTATCAAGTTTTGATTAAGGTTCTAGTGTTAAAATGTATAAATCGTAATAGTTTATTACAATGAAAATATATTAAAAAAAAATAAAACTAGGAGGTCTCCGTTATCCAAAAACAAGTCATAGGTCTCCTGTCGTTTTTTGGTTTTTAATAATAATAAAAGAAGTCACTTTAATTTACATCGAATATTAAAGTCGAATAAGTGTTATGAGCAGACTAAGCTTTTCACCATGTATTGTGTGTAAGTTTACTTATAGTCTAACTTTTTAGTTTACACACTAGTATAAACGTAGACAAATGTGAGTTTAGATAAAGTCTGTACACGTGCAATACCATTGGGTGCGATTAATCATTTTACATACGATACAAAACTTGTGAAGTTTTTTCTTCGTTTTTCAAAACAATTATTTTTAGGCTAACAATTTGGAAACAACTGGGAATACTACTCGGCGACGTCGCTACAACTATTACTTAAAATTCAATTT